TGCTCAGGCTGGGCTCAGTTATTCCAGCGATCCTCCGGGCCGCCGCGCTCGGCCGGTCCCTCCGTTTGGAAGAGTCTGTTTCTTCCACCTGGGGGGACTGGAGCGTATGCTGCTGGCAACAGGGCTTTGTCCGTCCTCCCCAGGTTGCGGAGTCCATGGATGTGCCCCACAATTTGCACGACCCGAGTGAAGCGAGGCTGACTGCCTGGGGTAAAAAAGCCCCACAAGGAGAAGGCCGAGTGTGGTATTTGATAAGTGATACAGGCCAAGTATACTAGGACTGATGTTACTTGCGCTGGGTACCTTGGGGGGAATTTTGGCTCAGTGCCTAGCTATCCCCGTGAGTCGGGACAGCCCCCGGTGGAACTGGGAGTCAGAATTGCAGTTCTGCTGTTCGTTTGTTACCTGAAAGTCCTCAGACAAGTTGTCTAACCTGCCTGGTTTTCTTCATCAGCTGGGAGTATTTATCCGTCGTAGGATTCATGTCAGGCTCAGATGAGATAAGAGTATAAAAGCCACTTACCAATTTTTCTTTTTTTTTTTTTTTAATTTCAGAAATGTTTTTTTGGGGCCAGAGTCTGGGTATCTATGAATGCAAATCCGTGTTTGTTCACAACTAAGCCCAGCTGAGACGATCACTTTTCTGTAGGCCATTTGCCCAGGTAATAATTTTTTTTTTTAACAGGAGTTCAGACCACCAAGGTAAGTGCAATTATGGAAACATGTGCAGAGTCCTGAAAGATAGAGAAGAAGGTCATCAGAGACAGACTAGAAGAGAGGACGGGTCGGACAGGCCCCCCCAGACGTGGTGACACTCAGGGAGGGCTTGCACACTGGTTGTTCTCAAATCCAGTTTTCTCTCGGAATCTTAGTGGAGTTCTTTAAAAGGGAAACAATTTTATCCGTAGGATCTCTTTTGCTTTTTTAAGTTCCTGAGGTAAGTCTGATGTGCATTCACAGTTAAGAATGCATTCACAGTTAAGAACCAGGCAGAGGTATGAGGGTGGGTTTTTAAGGCTGATGGATGAGCTTCCATAAAGGCAGGGAATACCAGTCACCATGAATGGTTTTAGGAAGAGCAAGTGAAGGGAGGTAAGTGTGGAAGGAAAGAAATGATGCGGAAGATGGATCATCGAGGGCCTTGTGTATGTTGAGCTCAGCAATTTGAATTTTATCCAAACAATGGAGGAGAAGTCACTTGTGCTTTCGAAGTCCAGTTTGGGCTTTGGGCTCTTGGCAGCATTTTGGTGGAAGAATTGGTGGCGATCAACCAAGAGGCAGAGAGATCATTGAGGCTTCTTCAGTAATCCAGACAAATAATGAAAATGTGTTGAATTAAGGCAGTGGTGGTTGCACTGAGAAGAAAGTAGAGACGTAATTAAGGAGTAGGCTCTAGAGCTCAGAGACTGGCTGAGGTAGAAGGAGCGTATAGGATAATTCCTAGGTTACTGGTTTGAAAACCGAATGGACAGTAATGCCATCAACAAAGGAATAAAGAACAGATAACAGATTTAAGGGAAGGACTTTGTTGGGTTCTGGTCATGTTTACTTGGAGGTACCTGTCAGACATGTGAGCAGAGATACACTGTATGCAGTTGGATGTTGAATATATCTGTCTGGAATTCTAGGCTATGCTGTCATTTATTGAGTAGGTGGAACACAGTGCATCATTGCATTAAGTTTGTGTTTTTTGTTTTGGTTTTTTTTTTGAGACGGAGTCTCATTGTCAGCAAGGTTGGAGTGCAATGGCTCGATCTCAGCTCACTGCAACCTCCGACTCCTGGGTTCAAGCCTCCCGAGTAGCTGGGAGTACAGGAGTGCACCACCACACCCAGCTAATTTTTGTATTTTTAGTAGAGACTGGGTTTCACCGTGTTGGCCAGGATGGTCTCGATCTGTTGACCTCAGGATCCTCCTGCCTTGGTCTCCCAAAGTGCTGAGATTACAGGTGTGAGGCACTGCACCCTGCTTGCGTTAAGTTTTACAATACATTCTAGTCTTTGGGCAGCTTCAATATAGGCAGTAGTTGAAGCAGTGGTTTGAAGTAGGTCACCCAGAAAGGGAGTACTGAATGAATAGGTTAGAATTCTCAGGACAAGCCTTCGAAAACTTTAATATTTATATGAGTAACAAAGGCAGGATTGTAATTATGAAGGAGACTAAGTAGAAGAAATGTCAAAAAATGGTGTAGCTAAAGAAAGCATGGGCAGCATTTTCATATGCTTCAGCAGAGTCAAGTTGAGAACCTATTGGATTGGTAATGTAGAGATTATTAGGGACTTAACGTTCCATAGAGTGTAAGGGTAGAAGTCAGAGTGCAAAGGAGCTGAAGAAGTGGTAGCTAGTGAATCTAAACTTCCAGATGTTTAGCTGAGAAGTGTAGAAGAAAGGAGTTTATTTAAAGGAGTTTAGCTCTGTCTCCCATGCTGGAGTGCAGTGGCACGATCTTGGGTCACTGCAGCCTCCACCTCCCAGATTCAAGTGATTCTCCTGCCTCAGCCTCCCGAATAGCTGGGATTACAGGCGCGCACCATCACTCCCAAATCATTTTTGTATTTTTGGTAGAGACAGGGTTTCACCACGTTGGCCAGGCTGGTCTTGAACTTCTGACCTCAGATGATCCACCAGGCTCGACTTCCCAAAGTGCTGAGATTACAGGGGTGAGCCACTGCACCCTGCCAGAAGAAAGAGATTGTTATCTGAAGTTTCTGGCTAGCTAATATTGAGAAATTGATAGCCTAAGGATAAGTCTGGAAAATTACAGTTATACCTATGGTGACGCATACTACATTTTTGGTTTTGACAAATAAGCTCTCTTAGTGAGTGCTCAGAGAGTTGCTTTTGTTTGAGTTTATTTTGGTTTTGCAACTTGAGTATTGTCTCGTTCAATAATGATTCCAAGTGGTTACAGGCTGATGAAAGTGACAACATAGACCTCAAGAAGAACTGAGTTGTACAGAAGCTTAACAGGATTCACAGTCATTTAGAAGCAATAATTTTCCCCCTAAAAGACAAAATATTCCCTATTGGGATTTCCTGGGCTTAGCCATTAGGAATTGGATTTTCCTGGGCTTAGGCCAGTGATGATTTTAAATTTGGAGAGTAAACCACACACACGTGGCCTTTTAAAGAACCACGGAGCATATGTTCTGTTGTTGATGTGCTCCGCAGCAGTATTTTCTGTATCTTCTAGGGTCTACGACACTTACCTATTTGGCAGTAACTCCCATATACTTTGAGAAAATTTAGCCTTGCTTTTTGGGAGGTGGAAATAAGCTAGCTCTCTGAGTGAAATAAAAAGCAAATTCTGTGATTTTCTTAGAAGAAGGTTTCTTTTGTTGTCTCCTTTGTTAGTAATTATTTTAAAGTACATGACATTTAGAGCTTCAAGTAAGATAAGCGGGGGAAAAAAGTACGCAATGTTTTATTTGTGTGGTAGTCCCACTTAAGTGGGATTTAAATTGAAAAAAAGCTCAAATTGACTGCAGTCTGTCAGCTGCTAAAATCATCCTTAAAACAGTGTTTGAGAAATCTATGAAGTTTCACTTTCTGTTCTTTTGTCTTCTAAGTTCACTTTCGTTATTGAGCTAGGTCACTGGAAAAAAACAGCTTCTGCAAACTTAATTTACTAGTAGTGTGATGTGGGCCTTTTAGGTATAAGTAATTCTTCTTTTGAAGAAAATGATTTTAAATTCTGCAGAAATATATTGAAGACCTTATCCCTTGTTACTTGGCATTTCCTAGTCTGCAGTGCCCTTGTACTAGGTAGGCATTAATAATACGTAATTGAGTTAGAGTTAGTGTCAGGAAAGGGCAGGACTCTGCAGCTGTAACTACATACTCTTTTTTTTTTTTTAAACTCCCTTCGATGAGAACTGGATAACTCATATTATCCTGTTCCTCTGCTTTCAGGAGGCTCCTAATGTAGAACTTAATGAAATTAAATTCCTTCTAAATAAGTTTCGATTTCTCTGTTTTTTGAAATCTCATTTTTAAATGTCCTTTTGTGTATATACTTTAATGTTGAAAGCTACCCTAAATTCTTTTTAGAACCATGTAGAAAGCATACCTCTTTAAAAGCATAAGTAAAAGTAATATTGGCCAGGCGTGGTGGCTCACGCCTGTAATCCCAGCACTTTGGGAGGCCGAGGTGGGTGGATCACCTGAGGTCGGGAGTTCGAG